TCTAGTGTAGATTCTAGTGTAGATTCTAGTGTAGATTCTAGTGTAGATTCTAGTGTATGGTAAAATCTAGTGTAGATTCCAGTGTAGATTCAATTGTAGATTCTAGTGTAGAATCTAGTTTAGATTCTAGTGTAGATACTAGTTTAGATAGTAGAATCTAGTGTAGAATCTAGTTTAGATTCTAGTGTAGATACTAGTTTAGATAGTAGAATCTAGTGTAGAATCTAGTGTAGAATCTAGTGTAGAATCTAGTGTAGAATCTAGTGTAGAATCTAGTGTAGATAGTAGGCAGCCAGTTGTATAATAAATACGATTGTTCTCCCCGTTGTCACTTCATTTGAACAAACTATCCCGAGAGAAAACATGGCTATTTGCATCTTTTGACTAAATGTCCAGAGCCTCAGAGGAAAGTTTTGCTTGCAACAGCCACACCCGAACAAGTCCATGTAATGTGTGAGGTATGCCATAATCTATTGAAAGGATGCATTCCACTTTCTTACTCTCAGAAAGAAGCACTTAGACGTTAGCGTTAGCTAACTCAGCAGTACCGTTCAAAACAAAGAAAACAATTTTGGCTCAAAAGGGCAGCGGATTTGTGAAAGATATTGTATCACCGTTGATGTCGGGTTTGAGTCTTTTCCTGGTATAAATAGCACTTCGCAGTCCCGCGAAATTCATTTGCACCTTGGTAAGACTTCGGTGATCATCATGAAGTGAAAGTGGGTTGAGGATTCTGAGGAAGAAGTATCAGACTCCGAGACCTTTGGTGAGGAGCCTTTCGATAATGAAATTGATCAGATGGTACAACGGCTTCCTAAAAAACTACCGAGAGAGAAGGCTCTAAATTTACTTCACAGCATGGCCGCTTCTAAGGACATTTTGTATTGGAATTCACATGGAGAAATGACTTTTCATCAACGAAGAATTCCATTAACCAGCATGAAGGAACTAATTGAATATGCTTTACTGCCTTACAACCCAGATGTCAGAACACCTAGAGGTTTAAAAACGTTTACCAATGGACTGGCAGAACTTGGGATTAACAAGCATCTCATCGGCAATCAGAAATTTTTGGAAGATATTGTTGCTACGCAACCGGAAGATGAAGACACGGATGAGAGTGAGACTGAAAATCAGTTAACTGATGACCAAGAAAACGAAGAAGAACAGGAGGAAGAAAATAGCGTTAATGATGACGATGGTTATGATGATGACGACGAGGATGATGAGGAGGAGGAGGAGGATGAAGAGGAAGGAGAGAGTATGGACGCGGAATTGAATTATGATGAACAGGAGTATTACAAGTGTCACGTTTGTCAAGAACCCCAACAGTTTTCAAAGATCTTTATAGTGCGGTGCCCAACTTGTCATTGGCACGAAGGTCACTACTCAGTGAGCATGAACGAGGTTGTCCGGTGCGACATTTGTACAAGCGTGTTCCCTGCGAATCAACAGAACACAAAGAAAACGTCATTAAAATCTAAGAAATTGAAACTCATCGTACCACGACAAGAGAGCGAAGAATTGGATGAAATGGCAACCCACGAGGATAACTACTTTCCTTTTTTAGACAACTAGGAACATTATTAGATTATACTRAAAAAAATGCAAAATAAAGAAACTTGAGTGAAAAACACTTGTGGTCAATATTGTTTACTGCATTCAGCGAACCTCGACAATATGTTACACATAATATGATGAACAATAAAGCAAGTTTAACAAATTCACGTCTGATGATAATCATTGTCTGCATGATCTTCTACACGACCAGAGAAACCGCAAACTGCAGAATGGAGGTCATAATTTACGATTTTGGGCGATTTTGTTACGATTTTGGGCGAAATTTCGAGTATGACTAAAATATTGTCAAACATTTCTCACAAATCGAAATAAATATAATATAATCAAACTTCTCATGATGCATGACGTTTATTCNAAATTTCGAGTATGACTAAAATATTGTCAAACATTTCTCACAAATCGAAATAAATATAATATAATCAAACTTCTCATGATGCATGACGTTTATTCATTATTTGCATATATTGCAGCGACAGTTGCACTGAGGTGAATCCAACTGGCAATCGGGCAGATGAGAAGATAATGAGAACAAAATAACAATCCGTAGACATACAATAAATTAGGAATAACAAATCGAGCTGTCACGCAAATTAAATACGATGAGAGAAAAAAATTCCCTCCTGCCTTGAACGATAATCATGACGTCACCCTCTATCAATCTAAAAATAGAAGATGATCTCAAAAYCYCWATGAATCCGAAATCCAAGATCCGAAGGCGACCGAGTGGAAAATCCGCATCTAATCGATTGTCCGCAATGAATCCGCATGATCCTAATGTAGAACCGGTGTTTGTCTACAACTGAAGTGTATTACCATTTCACCTTGACAGCTCATTGACAGATCGATCATATTCAGCCAATGGAAATTTTGCGTTGTGTAGGCAACGCGTAATTCCTCAAGCATGTTAAGGCCTGGGATTTTGTTCAAAATGGCAAAAATTACTTTTCACTGTAGAATCCTCATTTTTAGATGTAATTGAATGAGATTGCAACAGATATCCTTATTTAGAGTGCTTAACTCTTTGGATGAATAAATTTGCATAAAAGATGGCAAGATTAGCTCCGGCATATTATCATAATAAAACAAAAACTAAGAAGCAATTTATTTTTAGAGTTTTAGCAATTCAATCTTCCATTTGAGGCATAGCAATTTTAAGGTGACAATTTTTGAGTTCAAAACGGGGAAAACTACGACAAGAAAGAGCATAAGTCATTTGTTTACACCAAGCAACAACAACCCCGTATGAATACACCGTGCTTTTTTTCATTAATTAAACCATGATTTGTAACCTTTCTTGGTTACTTTTGTCTGATATCTGATGTGAAATGATCCAATTTCTAAGTTTTCATTCATGATATTTTTGTTTACAGAATGGGGAGCTCAAAAACAGCCCCAAAAGAAAGAACTTGAAGTTATGACAGATGAGGAGCTTGATGAGAGTCTCGGTGAGTTTTATACGGAAGTAAAAACTCAAAAAGGCGAAGATTACAGTAAATCTTCCTTAATCTCAATGAGGCATACCATAGAGCGATATCTAAACAACCCACCGTTCAAGAGAGGAATACAGCTTTCTGCTGCTAAGTTTTCGTTGTCCAACAAAATGCTGAACGCAAAAATCAAAGACCTCAAGCGACAAGGAAAACAAAACGTACAGCACATGTTAAATATTTCACTTGGAGATCTTCTTTTGTTAAAGTCTAGTCCAATTATAGAGATATCCCATCCTCTCAGCCTTTTGAGAAATGTTTGGTTCCACGTGGTTTTATATTGGTGCCGAAGAGGACGAGAAAGACAGAGAGAACTGAAGCCAGAGAGCTTTACGTTGGAAGTTGATGAAGACGGAAAGTGTTTTGCCACCATGACTCACGACGAAGTAACGAAGAACCATCAAGGCGGCGTTCAAGAGAATCCAACATATGAAAAAAATGGTCGTTTGTATGAAACAGATAGTCCAACGGATGGCTACAAAACGCTGAAGCTGTATATTTCCAAACTCAACCCGGAATGCACAGCCTTTTTTCAGTATCCTCGAAGAGACTTGGAGTGATGATAAAGTAAGAGATAGCTGCTGGTATGAGAATCGCCCGCTAGGAGTTAACACGCTAGCTTGGAAATATGATGAAAAAGATAAGTAGCGAGGCAAATCTATCAAAGATCTACACAAATCATTGTGTCCGGGCCACAGCTATCACCGTGTGGACAGATGCAGGCATTGAAGACCGCCAAATCTGCAAAATTACAAAGTACGCCACTACAACTCTCAACCGTCAGCACAGCAGCTTAAACAGTTCAGCAATGCTTTGTCTGCTGCTCTTCAAGGGATTCCAAGTAACTCAGACCGTTTAGAACAGGTTCATCGTCCATCTGCTGGGAGTTTTGGTCCGTTAAACATGAAGTTGAGTCAAACAAACAACACAAGCTCCTCCAGCACAGAATCCGAAGTTTTTGGTGGAGTGTTCAATAAATGCATGATACAAAATGCCAACGTACAGTTTGTCAGTCCTCTAAAAATTAGTCCAGAGAAAGAAAACATGTAGTTTTGACTTTACAGTTTTTTGATCAAAAAAGTGTGAGATTTTGACATGGGTTTTTCGTGTTTTTTCTGATTAAAATTTCTATATTTGCCTTAGAAACGTCTCATCGAAAATATTAGTATTCTTCAGCTAATGACACTTTAGTAGCTTATTTAGAGAGAAATTGCATTTCTATCATTAAATAAAATATATTTACGTCTCCAAAAAGCAGTTATTTTAATTTGTATTTTATAAAAGAAATAAAAAACTTGCGTGCTGTGCTGTATGCAGTTATAAAGCACTTGCGGATTGGCAGAACACTCGAGAAGTGTAGAGAAGCACTCCGCTATGCGTCGTGCTTCTCCCGCGTGCTTTATTACTGCACACAGCACGCGCGCGCGTTTTCTATTTTTTCAATATATATTGGCGAAAATGTATGGGTGTTATTTAAACCGTGCGTGCAATTGATTAAAGAAGGGCATAGATTAAGAAAATATCGAGATCTAATCATCCAGTGAGAAGCAAGCTTTATTATGATTAAGAGTGAACCATCAAAGGATAATTTTAATCGCACAGGTAAACAAAAAGATAAGCAAGCACCTGAGCAAATATGTCATGCACCTTAGCAGTCACTTGGTAAACCTCAAGTAATACTTTGAATATTTCCTAGACATCAAAGATGAAAAAAAAATGAGTGACAAGCTGCTTTATTCGCATAAGCCTCACTCAGCATTAGATTCAATCAAGTCAAGCAATGGAATTCAATAGATGAAAAACACTCACAAACATAGTCCCAAGCTTCTTGTTACATTAAAGCCCAAAGATCGATTTGGAACTTTAGCGGTTGAAAACCGGAGAACTATATCCAATGTATGTCGAATAATCGGGGAGGGGAGGGGGCGGGAGTAATGTTCTATAATGTTCTATAATGTTTTATTTTTCACATTGAACACAGACTGTGAAACCACAAATTTACCAGCTCTTTTGAATAAATTTTATTATTATTATTATTATTATCATCATTATTATTATTATTATTATTATTATTATATGTAATAGGACTCCATGCTGTCCAATTAAGAAATAAATGAGAAGTAATTGGACGAGGAAAATTCCGAGGACTGACAAAATTGGATGAGGCCGTAGGCAGAGTCCAATTTGGCATTCAGAGGAATTTTTCGAGTCTAATTATTTCTTGATTGGGGAGCATGAAATCCCATTACCTATCATCCCATATCAACAAGACCTGTCCAATTAAGAAAATAATTGGACAGTTACCTATATGGGATTAATGAGAAGCTGTATAATAATWATTATTATTATTGACTTTATCCGTTAAGATAACATTAATTTTCATATTATGAATTTCTTTGGGTTGTCGTTCTCATCAATTGAATAAGTTGCATACATTTTTTAAGTCTGGATACCATTTGGCACCCATCTTGGCTGCATGTAGGGATAGGTCAGGTGACCTTCAACAAGCCTCTTATGATTTCTCATCTCCAAAAGTGGATCCACTACATCTTTTAGGTAGTTGTAGTATCGAGACACCACTTTTCTACCTTTGCCGTCTTTGAGAGTTTTGCCGTAGTCGAAGAGACTATCCTCACGATACGTAGCAAGGCTCACGCCAAAGGAAGCTTGAGACTAAAAACAGAAATTTAAAATTCGATTGTAAATCAAGAGAAATTGAACCAAGAGAAGGAATCTCTGGTATTCGTGCTCCTAATTATTATAAGCATCGTTTGATACTATTTTTAGAATCGCGTTTGCTATCGTTTGGTTTTCTGCACGCGCATATTGCGCGCGCTCTAGGCAACTGTTTGCGGGTTTTTTTCTCCGAAAAACACATGACGACATGAGCAAATACAATGTAGTACAATGGAAAAAGTATCAAATGAATTATACTAAAAATAGCATCAAAGATTCTTAAAATAGCATCAAAGAGTGCTCATAATATGGTGTTGGGATTCCTTTTCTTAGTTAATATTTTCTTGCAAAAATTATATTGGAATTACACGAGCGGGCAATATTTTATTGAAATGGAAACTGAATTTAAAATTACATTATCTAGTATTTGCGGCATCATAGGGGGTGTGGAGGGGGGTAACCAATTTTCAGCTATCTACTAATTTTTAAGTCAGTTGTCAGTTAACTGTTAGTATAGGTAATCAATATGGTTTCGAGTTCAATTTGAGATTAATTAGCACGCGAGTGCGTCTTTCAAAGAGTAATTGCACGAGACCGTAGGTCGAGCTCAATTTCAGCTTTTTGAAAAACACACGAGTGCAAATTATCCCAAATCGAACGAGAAACCGTATGATTACTTATTAATAATATACATGGAAAACATTACAAAAGTGAAGAAATATATGACGACGTGTGCAATTAATTCAACTCATAATATTTTATGAAATTTGTTCTTTTACAGCAAACAATATTCAAAGCGATTTTAATTTCATGTAATTCAAAGACTCTATTAAACCAAAATGTGGTTATATGCCTAATGTTTCAATTTATTTGCAGTGAAGTAAATCTGAATCCCTTTCACAAAATGTGCACGTGCACATTTGGATTGACTGGCTTTGAAAAACTTCAAGCTACTGGGATAATTAATAACTGACATTTGTTGTAACGTGTTCTGGATACTTTTATAGTTGCTCTTCGGATCTCGTAGAAATATTGTATAAGTACTTATCACATCAAGTTTAATAATCTTGTTCATAGTATTCTTCTTTTCTGTTTTTTGTATTTCTTTAACTTAGAAACGCTCGAGTATTTTATTTATATCGGCTGGCTCTTTCTCCTCGATTCACGTTATTTTCTTTTCACACCATTTCTTCCATACATTCGGCTTAAACAAGGAACTTTTACTTGTGTTTTTTTAACTCCTTTTTTAGTTCTTTAATAGTAATATACGTTAAATCTTTGCTTACTTCCTGGTTATAAAATAGCTGCCATTTCCCCCCTCGATTTGCTTCAAATCTTTCACAAGGATTTCATCATAAAATTCTACATCACCTTATTGGTTGTCGTGTTTTCATAAGCTCGATGTTTACGAATGATTAACCGAGTATAAAACTATAAACACTAGGACGCCATATTTGATTCGGAAGCATGCTTTATTCCTGGAAGCGAGGCTACCACAGGAATCCCAATACATCACATCTCCCCTCTATTTGTTTACATTGGTTAAAACCCTCTTCTTCTTTGGTTATTATCCAAATCAAAAGCTAGAATTTTATTGGTAATTTGCTCTGCGTGTTACACTCTTTTGCACTGTATTATACTTTTCTGCACTGAATTACGCTGTTTTACACTGTATTTCGCTTGAACAACACAGCTCTATGCTAATCAGAATTGAGTATTTTTTCACGTATTAATAATTTGACAAGCGCTGACCATAATATTAACCAAACTAATGAAATATCAGTTACCTGTTAACTACTAAGTTTAACTTATTTTTCAGTTAACCGACTAATTCTTAGGCCAATCACTCCCATTTCGAGCTTGCCTTTGCTCAGTCTTAGCTTCGATTGTGTTTTCTTTTCTTTTATTAAAGTTCATTGTATAGTAAGGAATGTACGAACTACGGAACAATGTGAGTTGATTAAAATGCCATGGGTTTTGGTTGAATAGATGAATGTTCTAACGCACAACCGAGACTAAGGCTCGGTTTGTCCTTTCTGAGCCGTCAATAATCTTGGATTTATGAAAATGAGTCTACGAACGCTAAGATTCGGCCACCAAAGCATGTTTTTTCGAAAATCTAAAATGACTCGGTGATATTCAAAGGAATTGGAGAGTAGTGTTTTTAAGTCTTCTTCCTTTGATTAAAACCATTTTTGACATTTTTGTTGCTCATCCTTATCAAACTAAGAATTTGTGCTACAATATTTATCATGAGCAAAATGTTTTGTATTGTTCTCAGAAAAGACGAGGTTAATATTTTGAGTGGCTTTACTTAAAAAATTTGACAGTAATCTGTAAAGGCTTTCGTAAGCAAATTTTATAGTGATTAAGACAACAGTTTGCAAATTACTAGTGAATATGTGTCGATGATAGTGTTTCATCCGAGCTGTATCAATTTCCGAAGAATTCAGGAACTGAATGTTTAGGCTTTGAATTTCAAGGCTTTGGAAACTCACCGCTTAATGCTTCTCGCCTTTCCTGGTCTTTGCCCACTTTCAGCTGATTGATCAGCCTTTTCTTAACTTGCGACTTATGCAAACATTGTGGTCCGCGGTTTCTCCGTTGAATTTACTCGGATTCAAAATGACCTACATAGGTTAAGCAGTGATTACTATCCACTCTCATATCGTTCTTATACTTTTGTAAAGCTACAGTTTTGAAGACATTTTACTTCTTTTTATGATTTACTTACACTTACAAATTTTCGAACCAGACAATGCTTCGCGCGCGCGGCGCTCAAACGGAAGTAAAGATACCCATAATAAAGTAGCTAAAATATTTTTTCCGGTGGATTGTATCCCACAAATCTTTTCGAGATGAGAAAGCAGAGCTTCCGCTAAGTATTTTGATACTAAATGATACTCAATTTTGCCTTAGTATATAATTCGAAACCGAGAATTATACCAAGTTCAAGGAAGCGTTCGAAGCTCAACTTGACAATGGCACCTCATACTTCATGAGATTCAAAAAAAAATTTTTTTACAATGGAAAAGGAACCACGACGGTAATGTAGTTTAACAGTTCAAGAAGGCAAATTGTGTACGGTTAATTGAAACTGAATTATCAGCCTCTATATTTAACAATTTCAATTTTCGGCCGTCATTGGCAAAGGGTTTATTTTTTAAAGTTTATGTAACAACGGGTTATGTTGAGTCATATATATGTGATTTATTACTCTTTTTTTCTCAATATTATTTCTAAAACCTTTGTCAAAGACATTGTGCACGTTTACGGCTAAACATGCTCTGTTTGGTAGCCTCTCTTGAGCCTCTCTTAAAGTCATTCATTAGCGACAAACTTGCTAGAAAACGCATTTAAAGACTTACCGCTGCTTGTGCTCTGTTTGGCAACCTCT